TCATTGCTTCACTGCACCTCCAGGACTCTTTTAATGAGAGTCAATAATTTCATTTCATTCACTATTTATTGTCCAGTTTCTATAATTTGTTGTATGCAATTCACGTTTAAATTGTACATTCCTCAAAAAGTTTATTCCAATAAATCCATACACAAAAAAGTAATGAATGTAACTACTATTAAAAAAACTGTTCTTACAATACAGCAATACTTCAAATAGAGCTTATCGAAGACTTTATAAGGAAAAATGAAAATCAGTTTTGTCAATTCAAATTTAGTTAGTAAGACGTTGGGCGGATATATCCGCCGATCATTTGTAAAACAAAATAATAACTGGATAAGTAACTACATATTGCTAAAGTTTGAAGTTTTGAAAGCGAAAAGGAAAAAAAAAGTTATGTAAGAATTGGGCAATCTAAAATGATTTGAAAAGTAGTTCATTCAATTCATTTTAAAAGGTAAATGTAATACTGTGCAAATTTAAAATTGGTTAAATAAACTTAAATAACGTATAAATCAATCAACAAATTGCGTTAACTGCTTCTAATATATGTCACAGCAATGCCTTTCAGGTAATTTGTTACTGACCATATAAAGAAAAACAAGCGTCAATGTATAATGTCAAGATTTCCAAAGATTACAAAAATCTTATATTACTTGTCCATAATTTCTACTCGTCCTACTTGATGCTGCCTCAATAAAGATCTACCGTTGCTTTAAAAGAAAGTCGTGTGTTTTAATTTATTATTTTATTAATATATTGCTTTTCATATATAAATTTTAAAAAGTATCTGCATTATTTTTAAATATTAATTTATGTTTGTTATTAAGAATAATTATTAATATAAAAAATTATCTCTGGTATAATTATTTAGAACAAATGTGATAATTATTATAGAATTTCGTTATAAAGCAAATGACCTACATTTCTTTAGACCATTGACATAAATGTAAATAAATGTTGTTAGCAGATATTTCCTAATATAGATTTTTGTTATTTCTTAAACTTTTCCATCTTAGTCACTACATAATTTCTCAGAACAGGTAATAATACCAATATGATTCAATTAACACACTTATTTAGCATTTCAATACTGATCTAAAATAATCAAATTTAAATATTAATTAATAAGCTTTGAAAATTTCTAAATCTCCAACGTCGTTATATCTCCAAAGATAGTAAATGATTGAAATAATCGGAACTTTCTCGATTCAAAATGACTATGCAAAAAAAAAACTAAATAAAAAGAAAAGGAAAACGAAGTTTGTGAATATGAATATTCTGCACGGCATTCTTGGATTTCAGACGTTTCGAGAGTGGAAAGTGATTATATTCCCACTTATTTGTCAATGTATTCCGTGCACGAGAATCGGAGAGAAAATGCTTCAAATTGCGAATGGATTTATTTTAACTGTACATCGATATTGAATAGGTAGGAAAAAGTTTTAGCGAACGCACGCACGCATTCCTGCAATTCGTGCTGCAGACCTCTCTCTAATTGATGGAGAATGTTACTAAATAAAATCCTCATTCTCTAATACATAATGTAATATGTGTACGGCCGTATTCGAAGTATGATTGAAATGAATACAAAACAAAAAATCTTTACTCAATGGACTGTTTTTTTACTAGGAGCATATGGCTTTCAAGAAAATATGTAATGGATTTGTATTTTTGTTATTATTAATGTGACATAATATGACAGCTTTTAGAAGTTAAATATTACATAATTCGATACACATTTAATCGATATTTAACAAAAGAAACATGGTTTGTTAGTGCACCTCCATAGTGGTCACGAAATACAATTGTGCATAAGTATAGTTTTCTGTATAAAAAGTTGGGCGGATATATCCGCCGATAATTCGCAAAGGGTTAATACGCTAATCAATTTTGTTTAGTATTTAAGTTTCATAAGTACATCCAAGTTTCCAAATAGTTATATATGATAAGTGATATAATATTACTATTTTATCTATTGATAGATTATGTACGACTTTATACTCCACTATTTTTTTTATATTTCACATATACAATAGATAAGTGATATATGTTATTAGTATTTTTTATTGAAACGTTGAAAGTTCACAAACTGATATACAATATCAGTGTCAAAACAATATAAATAAATGCAAATTTATAGTTTATATTTTTCTGACTAGAAATAAATAATAGTCTATAACGTTTAATATCTTATGGTCAATGTCCTGTTAGGACCTAGTTTCATAACCGGAATTATGCAATTACAATAGCTTCGTTAGTTCGGGCACGACGGGCAAGATTCCAATGAAATTGTTGAAAGTACTTTAAAAAAATCAGCAAAATATAATGAATTTCATATGACTTTTATGTTATAATTTGTTGTATGTAATATCGTTTATATTACAGCAGCAATCCTAGAGATTGCAAAGGTACAAGTGATAGGTAATTCTGAATATAAATGATTAAGTAATAAATGTTATGGATGATCTCTTTTAGTAATTTAATAAAAAAAATGATTACATTCTGTAAGATAACTTACAAAAAGTTAAAAGAAAACCAAAACATCTTTTATAGTAATGTAAAAACAAAACCAGAACAATAACTATTGAAAATAAATTTACATTGTAAAATAGTTAAATTTAGAGCATACTAAAAACAAAAAACCTCATTACATGATTCAAGACCAGTAGTGGAAGCTACAAATATGAGAAATGCACATACTCGTCTTGCATGAGAAATGATAAACGAAAAACGAGACAATGTTGTGAAAATCAGTTAAGGAATACAGAATTAGGTTTAAAGTTGGGAATAGAAAAATGCAGAGAGATTAAATAATTTCACGTAGGAAACGTACGTACATGAAAGTGTGACAGCTATCGTTGGTATAGCGATTAGAATCGCGTGGATGTTTGCGAACGGAGCAATCTAGCTGGTTTGAATGTATGCGAATGGTATGTGTGTATATACATTTATACAAAGGTATATATGTATGTGTTTGTTGTGTTGCGGTCATTTCAGCAATACACAGGTGTTCAATGCGAGCCTCCTTATTTATTGGCCATTTATCTATCTATGCGTTCACCATAATGCCAAGGGGAATCTCCTCACCGCGTCTCCTGCTCTTCTCAGACGCAAACTCCGCTCTATTAATTACAATCATACAGAATGATATCGGCCTCAAATAATGACCATCACATGTATATATATATATAAAAAAATGCATATGCATATTACCGGCGATCTGTAGAATTATTTTATGAACCAATTTAAAGATTAAATGTAAATTTGAAGGAATAAACTATGCCTAATGTAGGTTTTACAACGATACTCTTACATTTTGCACTTTATTGACTCTAATACATACGCCACTTTTATAAGGGCACCGAAAGCCGTACGTGCATTTTTTTTTGTTTATTGGAACGTTCTTTTAACGCTCTCCATCCAATTTGCGCACATTTTACAGCCTCAACATCCTAAACCTATATAAAACAATTCAAACTCACCGCATGGCTTTTACAGCTCAGTAAACGTTATAAACGCAAATATAAATATATTTATTATGCCGCAGGAAACACGATCGAATTAAAACAATTATTTACATAGATTTTATATTAAATAGAATAATTTAATTCAGTGCATATATTTTGTATGTTTACAAACCACATATACTCGAATATACACAAATAAATCATACAAAAACAAATTATTTACTTATCGATTGAAGGGCAGCGTGTAAAATTTGAAAACACTTGTTACGTTGTAACACTATATTCCAAGAAATTTGCGTTCGTCATAACCAGAAGATGGAATGATTATTCTAAGTATTTTTCTCAGAATCGGGTAAAGTTTGTAGGAATTACGCTTTGTTGCGTGGACTTGAACTCAGTATATTTGACTTCCTTTTGCCCTTTCCTAGCAGATTTATGGTTGTTGTACTTTAACCTACGTCGGTGAATAAAAGGTTCGCATTACCTATTCGTATTAAATTCAAAGTTTTGCAAAATTGAATATATTACATAAATCTTACATATAAAACATACTTTTATTTTAAGCACATAATTAATTTCAATTACAATTAAACACAATAGAATTTTTTAAATTTTACTTTGTAATGTAATTTCATACTTTTATTAAATTTATTTAGCGAATTGCTGCAACGTAAAATACATATATTTAATTATAATAATACAAGGTAAAAATGAAAAGCTATTATATTACAAACAAAATAATTTATATCATTTTAAATGTTTTTACTTTCTGCTTTGTCTATGTAATAATTATATACAATAAAGTTAAAACATTTTTTTTAATTACAAATAATACTTTTAAATATTATGTAATAGAATTTTATTAATATTTAATTTAAAAAAAGTTCATGTCAAAAATTATACATTTTTAATAATTTGAAATGAGGATTTATATAATTATTTTATGAATAATTCTTCTATTCATCGTTAATCTAAAATATTTGTAATCAAAATAAATATAGACATTTTATAGTATTTGTATATTATATATTAGAATAAATATGTTGCTATATGGATTGGAATAAATAAGTACTAAGTAGCAGTATAAATAAAGTCAAAAGGTAATCGATTTCCACTGTGTTCAGTGAACTTTGAAATTACATTTAAGATAAATATTTTATTAAGTTTCGCTCGCCTTGCGTCAGCCATCCCATAAACTATTCAAATGCGGCTTTAAGTCGTCGTCTCGAGGTGCCGCACGAACACATGAGTATGCAGAAAGAATCCCAACAATTGTAGTTACAATGTCCGAGGGTAATTTTATATTGATGCGTCTCGTTTCGTTATATAGCACTGCAATTAGGTCTCCTAATTACCCCATAACTCCCTGACGTTGCCTTGCTTTGAGTTCGCTATTTTATTTTTATTTTTCATAAGGTCAAACCTCTCGGTAATTTATGTTCTATTTTACGACCCAACAAATCTGACGTCTTCAGCGTAAAATGTGATAAAGAAAATTCCGATATTAATGATTCGATTTTTTCTGTTTAGGATTTTCCCTTTCTTTCATTTGGAACAATGGAAAGCTGGTTGGTCGATGTGAAGAGGGTGCGTATCCCACGCCCTAAATTTGGTTCCGGCAATAGATGCTACCCCACAGAACCACCGAAAGATTACATTTACGATGATACCAGGACGGAGGACCTTAAATTCCGATCTGGCCTCAGCTCTGCTAACCTCGTTAAAGCGACGGAGGATCTTCGAAGGGCGTTACAGGAAAAACTGTGAAGAATTCGTTGTCATGCCCTTCGCAGACGTTTTTTTAGTTATATAAGGCAATTCATCTAACAATACGTTTTTTTTCTAAATATGTAATCGTTTTGCTACTCGTTGAATGGATTTGTAAACGATAAGTTACTTTATTATTCACTAATTACAAATCACGTACGATAGATTTTAAGGCTTAATACATAGAGCATTTCTTTTTATTTTATATCTTTGTATATAATCTGTGATATATATTTTTTTTCATCTCCATTATGTTATAATCTTCTTAAATTAAATACTAAGTAGTTTTTTATAAATTTGTGTGTTCGTTTTCCTATTTTTATCAAAATTACTCTGTTTGATTAATGACAATATTTTTGATATATTATAATAAAAATCATTAACTTTTACCCACAATATGTATATTACAATATGAATCAATAAAAACTGTTTATATTGCACTTATTTTTATTCATACCTATTTTTATTCTCAAATTTTAAGAATCTAGTAAATTTTTAACTCAAAATTGAATTGATTATTCCAGTTATTTCATAAATGAGAATAATCAATTATTCAATAATGAATAAAAGCAAGAACATTTTTTTACTGTTTTGTATTTTTTTATAATTGATTAATTATGAAATTGTACATAGTTCTAAACTTTATAGAAATGCTGCATAAAAAAATATGTTGGAATTTATAAATTCCGTAAATCAATGAAAAATTCAAGGTATTTCATTAATATGTGGAATATCTTAAATTAAAATTCTTCACATAAAATATTTAATAAAAAATCAAACATATTATTTAAATTTAAAATTACTATTACCCTTATAATAATAATATTTTTTCTATTTTATTTTAAATATTTAATAAAAGGGTCATTTTGACCTATTGGTCCGTAGTAGTTACGGGTTAATTAAATAATTGCTTCAAATGATGAAAGTTTCATTTTACAAAATATAGTCTATTGTTCTACACTGAAGAACATAAAAAATCATTGAAAAAATATAAAAAATACTCTTAAATTTCTATTTTAAAACAACATAATTATATGTTTGTGGTAATAAAATTTTTAGTCTACCTTTATTAAGAATTATTATAATTTTAATATTTCTGGTTATCTCGTAATTACATAATTTTAATCGTTTTATTAATCAAGAAAATATAATTTACAATATAATCTAATTAATTTTTAATTAATTTTGTTAAGAATTAATCATTTTGAATTATAGACGACTATTATAAATGGTATATGAAGTACATAATATTTTAAGGAAAATGTTTCAATTTATAGTATGCAACCCAATGAACAAGGAAGTAAATGCAAGACTTGAACCAGAAAACATTTCATTGAGGAAATTTGATGAAATATTTAATTTTACTTTATAAAACATGTACCGCAATTCCAATTTTTAATTAAAATAATAAAGAGTAAATGGTTTTATATGAATTCCACTTAATTATATAACGTTTTTGTTTCGAAAACATTGCAGAAGATTACAAAGTCTTTCATGTGTTTGTCTATACACATATACAAAAATACAAGGTGAATTAGTAAATAAAAAAAGGAAAGAAAAATTCTAAACATTAATGTACAACAACGCAAAGTAAGACAGAACACACCGTACGAATTTTCATAACAACTAAAAAGAAACGAAAAAAAAAATATATATATGTGAAATTTACTTACCGAGTCTGGATAGTCCGGCTGATGTAAAGCCGTCGCACTTCCGGTTCTAGATTCGCCGGGACTCGAATGTCTTCTGCTGCGTGTTCCAGGAGGATTATCCTCATCGCCGCTGCAGTATTCCTGGAAATTAATACGATCTAAGAACACCTATTGCATTCGCGTCTTGTCAATCCAAAGAACATTCACTTAAAACGTCGACAAAATGACAAACAAAAGGAAACACAGAAGAAAGGAAGTATAAACATACATGTAACATACATAAAACAGCTACGGAAAGTTACTTATTACATATGTACAATTACACAAAGAAATGTCCAAGTAGTCATGAGTACATGCTCAACATAAAAAAATGACATAACGAGTTTTTGATACAACGTAAGAATGGGCATGTAGTCATAATGAATAATTCACAGTGCAAATAGAAATATGTCTGTGCTTTGTGCTATTATATGAATTACGAACAAAGTTTAGTTCAACAGAAAAAAAAAATAAAGGAAATAGTTTAAAAAAAAATCACTTTTAGTTTTTTTTTTATTTGTTGTTGTTGCAATGACTTTACGAAGCTATGTAAAGCTAGATAGTAAAAGAAACATAGACCACACAAGTGTCAACTTTTAGTATAATACAATAGTTTGTGGCTACTATATAAGAAAAACTGGATAGATTAAGGTAGAGTAGAGAGGATAGAGTGAATTACACACTAAATAGAAATAGGCCACTAATAGAAAAATATATACATAGACATATATATTGTATCTATCACCTGATTCTGGTGATCTTCTGTTGTTATTACTTTTCCGGAATTAACCGTTGGCCGAGTTCTATAAAAAAGAAACAAAACTAAGCTAAAAATCTTATACACAGAAAATCATAAGTTAGCGAAAATGTATCTTTGTGATCAGATTGAATGAATAAAAATTATTAAATTCCCAAATTAACATTGAAAGACTTATTGTTTATTAAGTTAATGCACACATAATTTACATTGAAACAAAAGAATGAAACATCAAATAACTATAATCTATTTGAAATTAGAATTAAAACAAAATAATGGATGATAGATAATGACATTTCTATTACTCTAAAATATTTTTTTAGTATTAAAATGCGTCGAGAAAAAATATATCTAAAAGCATTTTTTTTTTAATTTTTCTTAAAAATCTAACTAAAGCCAATTTAACAAAAATCTTACGTCTTGCAATATTTATAAACTTGTAGTTTTAATTTGTGTGTTCAGTTTAATTTGTGATTCAATGTCGTTGTATTATTTAAGACGTCTGTATTTAATTTTTAGTTTCAGATTTAGTCGGATGAAAGTGACAAAGGAGCAGAAAGAATAAAATGATAGAAAGAAAAAGTATTTTTTTTTTGGAATTTATGGATGAATTCCGTGAGTTTGTCTCACCTTTGCGCTCGATCAGCAATACCCATACCAACACCTGAATCTTCGCTCGGTGATCGATATTCTTCCTCATTATAAGTACTATATACAGGTTCAGAACCAACTTCCTGTAATAAGTTTCATTGCATGTCAAAATATATTTGACATCGTTATTAATGCATTAGTTATTACTGGTTTACTATTAACACATTAGTAGTAAAGATTAAAAGTAATTAATATAATCAAATCAAATATTAAATGAAAGAAAAAAACAAGTCTAATTAAGGATAAAAATAAATAAATAAAAAAAAAAGAAAACTAAATAAAAAAAATATAAAAACTAAAATAATAAAAGTAAACTATTACACTAATTAATTCATTCATTATATGTGAAGAATTATAATTATTTTTTCTACTTATAATATAAGAGAAGCACTGGTAAGTCTCATCTACGGAAAAAAATCGTTAAATCTAAGAAAAAAGTTAAATGCTTTCTGGTTTTGCAAGCACGACATATTTCTATAATGAATTTAAGTAAATAATGTGCATGAAAAATAAAAGAAATAAATAACTGTTGGAACAATATTGTGCATTCGATTTTCTTTTTACAAAATTTAATTACTGCATATATTTATTTTATATCAAGAAATTTAGTATGTTCACAGATGGGTGAGTACGCAGAAAAATGACTTACCTCTTGGTAACCGCCGGACATCATTATGGAATGATTCGAGTCTGGTACACCTCCTTTTCTCTAAAAAAAATTAATAATAAATGAAATATTATTTTTAATTATTAAAAATTAATTACTGATTACTTAATAACAACAGAAAACAACAACAGCATAAGAATTTGGAAAATTTAAATTTTTAAATATACAAATATAGTAGAACTTAGTTTATAGTAAATAAGAGGACGTAGGATTCAATAACATCTGAGGAATTTTTTGGCACTTTGACAAGGATCACTCGTTTTTGCAACCGGATGAAAGCTTGGGCGACAAGCCAACATTATAACTTAATCAGAGTTATAACAAGCAAATTTAAATTGGTACCAATAGCTGTGTCTATTATAATCTTTAATGGTATCACCAACCTTCGTTACTCGCGCGACGTCTGTGAGACACCAGTAGGTACAAACCAACCATAACTTTTACAACTGGATAAATGGAACAGGATTAACAGCAAAATAATCTTAGCAGAGTATATCAGACGCCACGCGAATAGTAGTTTTATGTAATAGTCTCATAGAGGATGACTAAATCAATGTTCATATGACGCAAATACTAGGATTGGAATTATGTACATAAATTAAATATAATTTTGTTTTATAAAAGCTAATAATTTTGTCCTAAATTCAAATACAAAGCTGGGTACAACTACAAAGAGCGTGAGTAATCGAGAAGCCTCGGAAAATTGTAACAATGTCTCATAAAGATGCAGCGAATATTTTTTTCAATACTGTACATTTGACAGACAATGGAAATTGGAGCTGAATTGGTTTCATTCTTCCTTGAGATTCAGCCATATCACGGTTAAAAGGATCTTTTTCTCTGCGCAAAAAGCATTTCGTCGTTCTCCCTATATTAAAATTACAATTTCACAAAATCTCCGAGCAAATATACATTTTATATTTTAAATCCAAGCTGTTTCCACAATATCCATTTAATATACGATATTCTATAAAAGTTAAAGGAAATATATATTTTTTTTTATTAATATTATTTTTAATGTATTTGATTTGATCAAATAATGAAGTTTGTAAACTTTTAGTACAGATAAACGTATTAATTATTTCACTACTATTATTCTATTCTTTACTCTCCAGTTGGAGGTCAACAATATGAAAGAAACTAAATTAAATGTAAAAGACAATTTAAGCAATTGGAGTGGATGGAGAAGGCTAGATAAACACAAAAGTATTAGAGGGATTGTACAAATGAACTGTCCAAGTTGAGTATATTCTCTCAACTTAGAAACCTATTGTTTGCTTTGGAGAGGCTAGAACAAAAAAGGTGAAAGCATTTTCTACTTTAAGTAATCAAAGGAGGAATAAAGTAAAGAGAAAACGCATTGCATGTGGGAGATTTAAGATTTACGAAAAAAAAAATGGAGATTGCTGATGGAGAAATAACGTTATTTTCCAAGCACGAATTTGAAATAATATTAATTGTTTGAAATGAATTGCGTGATGTAAGAAAACATTACTAGTATTTAGAATAAATAGAAACGGTCCCAATATTGATCCCTGGGGGACGCCTCTATTTATAGTAGTGAAACTGAGCTATTAACATGAAACGTCGAGCAGTCAACACAGCTATCAAATAAGCAGGCCCCCCCGGTGATACCCTCGAGGATTTGAGGTTATACTTCAAAAGACATCGAATGTCAAAGCAACGTTTCAGAAACCATGGTAAGGGAGAAGATGAACCGAAACCAAAATAAACAAGTTGTATAATAATATTATATCGTGCATCTAAGTTTGCGTATTTGACTTAAACCAATTTCGATTAATATATTATTAAATAAACAAAATCTAATAAGTACAACTAAACACAAATCAATAATATTTATGATATAATAAGATTAATAAATAATTCTTACTAACGCTAGTATCCAATGATATCTTATATTTATGTAATACAACTTGTATCTTACATTTATAACAAATTTAAAGATTCATAAAATTTGATATATTTATTAAATTATTATAGAAGATAATGAAAGTAATCCAAGCTGAAAATCCATAAGATTTAGAATTTTAGCTCATGGAGTGTGAAATATAGCTTAGTAAAACTGTAAAACGGTACAAAACGCTGCATTTTATAATATCTATATTGCACAGCTTGCTAGAATTGTATAAATTTATATTTTAGTTGACCCAGTTTATAAAACTACCGTATAAGTTACATGCAACATAATAGTAAAATAACCTTTTCATTCAAAGAATGCTTTAAATTGCAAACTTTAAAGACTCATCCAAGAAAAGTGTATTTTAACTAATTACTAATTACTTAAAAGTACATTGTTAGCTGTTTGAAGAATAGAAAATATTAGTTAAAAGTGTATCGAAAACATGTATACATATGTACAGCAAACATTGATTTGTAATTTAATGAATATTTTGGTGCGTTTTACCATGCAATTAATGGTTCACATGTGATGAAGGGTTGGACAAGATTCATTAGTTAACTATCGGCTCATTAATTTAAATTCAAAATCACTTAATTGTATGTAGATGCAATTGTAATTGACAGTAATGAACTGCCAACAAGCAAATCGTTAATAGACAGCAAAATCGTATAATTTGAAAACTAACATAAAGTCAAGTGGAATGTTTTAGTTCTAATTACACACTAAAAAAAAATATCGGTAATTTACCGGTTAACCGGTTTATACTAAAAATATAAAATTAAACAAAAATTACGATAAATTTGGTATATGAACTGAACGTAAACTGAAAATTTCATGTTTGAGGTAAATATCTTACTAATTAAACGTGAAATGTCTGATAATTAGCCAATTATTAATAATTGCGTTAATAGAGGAATTATATTCGGACAAAGGATTACTATTGAATGAGAAATTAGTGCGTATGGGATGTAATATGTGCCTATTGTTAGTATTGGAGTGGTAAACGGATTTAAATGAGATCACTTATAAAACAATAATTTGGGAAATAAGTATGTACATTAATCAAAAAACACAAAGTAAAAAACATAATGATTTAATTAACTCACCCTGGAATGTCTGTAATCATGTTCCCTCGGATCCCGACCTCTCAACGGATCCATTTCTCTTCTGTACACCAATTCATCAAAACGCGCTCTATCTTCAACAGCTACGATTTCTCTTAGTTCTATCATTAAAGTGTACTGGAACAAAAGAAAAAGGATGATCACGATGAAAAGAACGCGTTTAATGCCTAAAAGATTGCACGCTGTTTACTTTTTGTTTAACTTTATAATTACGACAACGACGACAAAAAAAAATGCATGCATATTATTCAAGTTGGGAACGATGCCAACATTCGAGAGGATGCTGCATGTTCCCGAAACTGGCCTTACAGCAGGGCACAAATTGCGCCGTGCCAAAAAAATAATAACAAGTTGCTTTTTGTTTCAAACAGGTGCAGAAATAATATGATGGTATCAACACTGAATGCTAAGCTTATGCCAAAGCCAGAGTTGTAAAAACAAAAAAGTTTCACGTGCTTCAATTCACAAATGCGCCATTGACGGTTTCATTTAAATTTCTGAAAGTTAGTTAGCTCTTGTTTACGTTTGATCCGTTTATATATATTATTTTTTTATGCAGATGTGAAAATCAGTAATTTGCAAGTCTTTGCATAAAAATTACATGCATTACCAAATGCTAATGCAGCCGGTAAATGCTTTTCATGTGAGTCAACATCACCACCGAGCGGTGATCATACTTGAATTTGAATATGGAATATAGGAAATATCGCATTAATAAACAATTTTCTTGCTTCCTGTATGAATAATGCTTTCACGTCAATTAAGGGCATGAATATAAAGTATGCAGCTACCATTAAGCTTTTATATGTGATAAATCTAAGTTCTTGAATAGAAACACATCAACCTTACTTTTAATTTCCTTTTTTAATTTGGTTTATAATTCAATAAATTAATTTTATGCAGAATTTACAAAAAAAAACATATAACAATTAATTAATTGACGTAATAATAATTAAATACAAATATTTTTAATTTATTTAATGCAAAAACATGGTGAATGCGCCGGGTCACTAACACTACAATTAAAATATTTCTTTGTGTCGAAATCGAGTTTATCAAATAAAATAATTCCATGAAACTGTTTATTTACACCGTCTCTTCATTATGTTATATCTGTCAAGTATTGATAATTAATAAACATAATGTCTATAAATATCATAGTTTTTTTTTACAAATACTTGCGTTATTAATAATACTTGCCAAGTAATTGCAAATTGTTAGCGAATAGAGATAAATTACCCCAAATAAAATAAAAAAATAAATTATTGGGGTTTACGAGAAAGTTTACTAATAATAATATTGTTGTTTAAATTTTTAAAATTTTGTAGGCAGTCCAAAAAAATAATGCCTTTTGCATAAACTTTTGCAAATGAGGATTTTCCACTTTAATGGAGTATAGAAATTTGGCCTATTATGCATAAATAAATATATTTTAGGGTAAAATGTAAACAAGTTTCGTGACGCCTGAAGCTTAGTGAGAATCAATTCCTCACAATCCTCAAATAATTTACTAAAAAATATTTTACCTTTTCTGGAGTATTTAGTAATTCAGTCATAAATTGAACGAAGGCATCTATGGTCATATGTCTAGCAGAATATTCGTCAGTATAATAACATAGCGTCGTGAATTCCGGCTTCGAGAGAATGCACCTTGCCTTCTCCTCAACCATCTGCAACGCCGCAGCCCATTTCCTTGTAGTCTGAGCTGCTCTCGATCTAAACGAAAAACAGAAAAAAATAGCAAGGTTAATACCGTAATCCCTAGAATCTGAGTCTCAATTAATGTAGCTTTCCATCTAATTGGATTCAATTACCCATCCCTTAAGCAACGTATAATCTTTCCATTAATTACATATAACTTAGATAAAGAAAATAAATAAAACATAAATGTACATCATTTATCTAACTAACTAAAATTGTAATGAATCCGGAAAATTTTAATTAATTATAATTTTAATGACGCAAGCTGTGTGAGAAATGCACGAAACAAATTATCTAATTAAAAGTGCAAACGGATTTAATTTGATAAATAATTCTTACCCGGGACTGCACAAATCCCAATCTCTGTCATAAGCTGTACACGAATGAGGAACTTTCCCAACATCTCTGACCAAAAGAGACATTCTTTTGTGGTACTTCAGCTGAGATACAGCTTCGTCGTGGGTTACGTCCATAAAAGATTGTCCATTCACTTCCAATATTTGATCACCCACCTATAACAATTTTATATTAACAATAACTGCATTAACATCCATGCAATATCATTAACCAACGTTGTTTAACTTGTTAAACTAACATGTTGAACTTAATAAATAATTCAATTTTGTTGACTTTTTAAATTAAATTTGAATAAATCTTGTATGGATTACATCATGTTTGCGCTGTAGCAGCGCATAACTAAATAAATTTCGTTGCACTTTTCGCAGCGCCAAAGTTGTTTACAAGAGTTCACGTCTGCAGACAGTTTGATTAATGCTCGTAATCTCATCGAGGAATTAGGTTTATGGTCGTGATTTTATTATATAGGAACTATATATACTTCACGGGTTCTCTTCTATTTTTTTGCGGCCATCAGTTTGGCTCCGAATGTATTTTAATAAGCGGGGAAGATCCGCACCACCAGAATTACGAAGCGAAGTACTTTGTCAACTTCTAAGAAGAGTAATATTTAACGAACTCGGAAATGTGATATCATAAATATCGGAGCGGAAAAGAAACCAAAACAGGAGCAACACAAAAAAGTTATTCCAATGTTTGTCGGACTCTATTGATTTCAGGAGATATAGGATAAGAAGAAAAAGGGTTTAAATATTTAATGCATAATATTAAAAGTGTACTCACCATGAGACCGGCCCTATCTGCGACCGAATCCTTATCCACTCCCGTCACGAAAATTCCAAGATTATATTCCACGCCGCCTCTAATCATCAGCCCTAAACTCTGGCCAGGCTCTATGCATAAATCAACCTGAAAAATGAAAAAAAAAAAGAAAGTATGATGTAAGTGTTCAAATTTTAAGATCGTTAGCACATGAGATGAACGTTAATAGAATACTTAAATTTCACCTCAAGAAATAACATTAATTTGTCATATTTTCCTGAAATGATATATTACATGTATATATTCCAGGAGTAAATATTTAATAAAAGTGAAACCTTTATAGTTGAACTGTGACCTTTAGAATCTATTATACCATTTTGCCAAAGAAAGCGTAGATACTTTAGTAATATGGTAATTCATTCAAACGTAAATTATTTTGATAATAAATCTGGATGCGAGCTTCCTTTACGGACGTAATAAATAAGTAACGGATGCTAATATATAAACGGCGTTTCATTTGCATTATGTCGCAGCTTTTGTGGCTGATAAAATCAGGTGATTTGCATACGGTTAGCTCAGTTTCAGGTTGCTGACTGGACTTGATGTATGTAAACAGTGGGTAGAGAGGGTGGAGGAGGAAAGGGGAGGAAATGTATCCAAAGTAATGGGCAGTCGATTCCCGACGGCTACTTTTCTACACTCAAATGCGAATTTATACGCACTACCATACACATTTACCGTGCTAACTGGATACACTAAATTAACCGGAAAATTGTGTACAAAGGAATTAGATTGCCATGGCAACTGGAAGCCTACGTTTGATTAAAAATAAACGCGTCTCAAAGGAAACTTCCATTTTCATTATATCTCCTCCTCTCTCGAGCGCTTTTCATCTTAAAGTTTAAGTTTCTTTTTGAGAATTAGTTTCTATTGTGGTTTGTAAATTACTATTTTCTTTTCTACGTTTATATTTCATGATTTCAAATCACTATTATTATTATTATGAATTACTTATTTGTCCCCATTACAACTTTTTGAATTCGTGTTAGAATAAGTGAATAAATTCTCATAAGATCTAACCATGAGATAAATACAAATCATGCTCTCAATTCAGCACGGTAAACAGAATTAAAGCTTTTTGTTCATGTTGAAACTAGCTTTTATATACAAACATGTTTATTTTCTTGAACATAGACTAATATTATAAACGCTGAAATTACATAGAAAAACTTCGGTCATTTGTAAATAAATATTGTAATTTTTATATCCACATTTTTTTTGTTACATTAACGGAAAAGTAAATATTATAATTAAAAAATACCGGTAATTTGGCTATAAATGGTATATATTTTTTGTTAAAAACCGGTATATTTGGTATATTGGATGCCCTAGTTCTAGCAGATAAAATGGAAAATGAAAGGTTTAACAAAACTAGTTCTGGATAGTTTTCTGTGATCCCCCCAAGTATTTTTCGCAACTTGGTGGTCGCGATCCACACTTTTAGAATCACTGGTCTAATTTATACAATAATACATAAAAAGTCCTTTAGATAAAATTGAAAAAAAAAAACAAATAGGTTGAATGAATTTAGTTATCACACATAGTTCAAACCTATGTAATAATCATGATAGTGTAGTGATGTTTATAATCTTCAATGAAATACCCTCATCATGTCGAGTTTCTCCGAATTCAAAACATGTTATCTGTCATCCCTTCCGGCAAGTTGGACTTTCATCATTCCCTCGTTGATTAATTTGTGTAAGCTAACAGATGATATTAAAAAAATAAAGAAGTTATAAAAAAAATGGGCGTAGGTAAATATTACAAAAGCCCTGGAGTTTAGATAGTACATAAATATCAAATATTCCTTAGTTTAAATACCACGTAGATGTATGAAAGATTCGTGTGTGGGTTGAAGTTTAAAGGCAAATACCAGTTGAGGCTTATAAAGCGGTCAAAGGATATATTTGATTGGAGGGTTGCAATTCCGACGGAGAAACCAATATAGTTTCAGCTCTGCATCACCTGCGTGGAAATTAATCGATATGCACCAAAGCAATTATTATCACCCTATGAACTGTACGAGGGATGATGGAATATTGGAAGCAAATAACCGAAGCAGGTTTATTAAAATATCGATCAACTTACACGTCTGACGTTTCTATCTTTACTGGAAGCCCTTCCATAGCCGTATCTTTGCGGAGGCACAACACCCGTCCTGGAATACTCCAAAGGCGGCGAAACGGGTCGTCCTTGTCGGTCCATCCAGGAACAAGTCTGCCGCAAATGCCACGACGCTCCGCCAAATCCAGGACCACCGGGAACAGTCGGAGACTTCACTGTCATACTTAACTTCCTGCAGGACTTCAGCATCTGCAACCAAATGAAAAGCAAAGACCGGATATAAGTAATCAACTCTACCATCCACAACTAATTATGTGTTTGGGGGGATATATATATTTATTAAATTATTCTTAAATAGTTCTTTAAATATATTATTCAACACAATCAATAGTTGTTACACAATAAATCAACAATTCCCATCCAAAAATAGCGCCGATCCAATCTACTGGCCAACAGTACATTCCACAATCGCGTGCTTATCAAACTGGAAACTAGCATTTGAATTATTTAAATTAAAAGAACAAAAAAAAATATTTAGAAAGAAACGAAAATTAAAAAAATAAAAGAACACAACAGAAACTCGCAGCTTAGTGCTTTCAGAATGAGCAGTTTCAACTCTTATTAATATAAATACGCTTACAAAAATCGATCCATGTAGAATACCAAAACTAAAGCTATTATTATAGAAAACTTAATCATGCTGTCTTATTATCATACATGTGAACAAAATAAAAAGAAATTGCTTAACTAAATGATCAAACGAAAAAACGAAACAGTCAACAGATACACTTTATCATATAATCATTTCGCTACATTCTTTTTTGTTTATACGCAGCTAACTAATAAAAAATCATGTGGTGAATATATTATGTGGAGAGTATAATTACTATATACTCACCGCAATTACTGATTGTTTCATCTACAAGAAGAAAGAATAATTATTGAAATTTATAAATCTAAAACTATGTTAATGTAATCTTAAATATATGAACTATATATATGATCCAAAACGGAAATGTTTAAAAAAAATTATATATATTTATTCTATTGTTTTGTAATCATTAATTAAAAAAAAATGTTACTAGACAGGCCTCATTATCCATAAAGTCTACAAGCTCTTCTCGTTCATTTTTTGTTTGTATTTTGTTTAATCGAATCCTATTCAAACTTTATGGTGCTAAAGTAATTCCCACTCTGCTATCAACTACTTCCTCATGCGAAAGAAGCCTTAGTCTCGCGAAACTAATCAAACTACTCGAGGCAAAGTATACGAGTTTTCCGAAGTTCAATCATATTTCTTCAGGAATCGAAATTACAAAACTCTAATAATCATTCATGTATAATAAAATTTAATTAAAATATACACATTTTCCAATACTTCCTAATAAAAGTCAAATAATCCTCAGTGTTTAGATTTAATTTATTCATTTTAATTAATTAATTAATTGGATTTGAAATTACATGGAAGTAACTGTTATGAAAATGTATGTTAAATTTGAAGAAACAACTAGAACTTATTGCATTTGCTTGTAAAATGTATAATCGTAGTACATCTCAAACGACAATGCAGTAGTCTGTCTAACTTTTACTACTTGACAATCAGATGAACGCCTTACTCGCAAATATAATAATATTGCTGCGACAAATGGATTCCAATTATAAAGTAGTTAAAAGTTATATAACATTGAAGAAGCGCATTCGAATACTAGACGTAAATTCTCGTTTCTAAATTAATTAAATTATTTTACAAGAATTATACTTGAGCTTATAATTTCAACAAAATTAATTTTAAAGTATAATTTTATTTATATTCTTCAATTGTATGTTATTATTATGGACAGAAAGTACAGCATTCACTTATATTTATACAATATTTCCAATAAATTCAATTATAAATTATAATTTTAATTATTTCTCAAATTCTCATCGCATATACTAAAGTTAAATTTAAGTAAGCGCGGGAAATATGTGTCTAGATATAATTTCATTAGACTCCGTGATCCGCTTACGAATTATAAAGGAAGCAATATGCATATAAATATGAATTATATAATATTTTCATGATAACATCGCGAAATCGTATTTATATTCATAAAATCGTAGCGTGTGAAATACACGTCGTAACAGACGCTGATCCACAGCTCAGCTCTTACAAACTTTAGAAGAAAATGCCTTTTTCCTGTCAACGAAGTGTCCACATATGTTACACCGGAAACAGGGAATATGACAGTCGAGAGGATACTCCTATTATTAACACCGCACATAAGAAATATTGACATTTCATCACTACAAAAACTGCAAAAGAAAATAATCACAGAGAATTTCACTTTATATTTTACTATTTAAAGTATTAAATAGTTTATATTTTCTATGAAAATACAAACTGATTTTCACACTGAAATTTTATTCAATCAATAAAACAATTAAACTGGGACAAAACATTTAAACATATATCATTCAGATTCCAATCGGAAATGATATATTAATGTGACATAAAGGGATTAAATGATAATTTGCACTATTTGTCAAGTCAATCCACGCGAATTAATTATTTTTGGCACGTTTTATTAATTTATAGAAAAATTGTTATACCGCACAGAAGATAATAAATTATATAAATGTATTTAAAAGATAAATTATAGTAATTTTTATATTTTCCTAACGAGAGTTTTCTTGCGAAGATTATTAAATTTGCTGTGAATTGCGGTTTCATCACATTTTTTTTTCATTAGAAAATGTGTGGTTGGTTTCCACAGTTATCATTAGAAGTGAAAAGGACCGTAAAGAAAGATTCTAATGATGAGCACGCATGCGATGTCAGAATTCAGTGTACATTGCTTCCCTAATTTAGCTAATGTAACGTTTATGAACTTAGTTATACATATTTTATTAGATTCCACGGCTGACGTTTCTAACCCACTTTCGAATTATTTTCATTTCAACATTTTAACCAATGCGGCGAAGCACTTCTTCCCTCAATTTATCATGATAAAAATACTATTTAATGTATTTTATATGTATTTCATTTATAATGTATACAATGTACACTTTAGAGATAAATAATATTGTTCGAGTTTTCTCATTAAATATTTATAAACTAGTTTTTAAATAGGAACAAATCAATATAGTGGGGGCAATTGTTTCCACCAATAACCCGGACTGATTAAAATCGGAACAAAAATAAACCGTACAAAATTAAACTTGTATAAACGATAATGTAAAAACAAATGATTTCTTTTTTTTATGTCTCAATAATTTTATTTATAATCATAAGTAAATTTAAACTTTCCCGGTGAATATTTACTATTATTATATGTATGATTAAGAATAATTATTTATATCTATATACTAAATCTAGTGGTCAATTTAAAGGAATTTATTGTTTCTTTATATCTTGTAAAAAGAATTATACTTATATAAAAATGATGTTATATTTTTGTTAAAACTGTAAGAAAGTTTCATTTATTGTATCATATCAAAACACAGTATTCTCTTAAAATCAATATAATCGCTTTTCTATTGACGGAAATTCGTATACAAAATAATAGGCTCCATAATTCCACTGGTTTCGGTGCCTTGTATTTATGTACAAACGGTAATCACTTAGACCGCAGGAAACCCCTTGTTTCGTAATACCTACGTATCCTATTATGATGATAATGAGATTTTCGTTAATGAAGTTATTCTGAAACGCATCTACTTCGTTCATTAACTTAATGTTTTTAAATAGCGCAATTATTGGCATATTTGGTAATATTGTTTATATTATTATTTCATAATATAATAATTCAATTGTAATATAATAATAAAAGTTTTTTTATTGCAGTTTTCCTATAACTTCGTTCCCTCATAACGCTTTTTCTATATGATACAACATAATTAGATATAGAAATTGATGAGGCATTAATTTTTATATCTATATCAAAAGCATAGGTGATCCAAATTGTGTAAATTATGCGAAAAAAAGACTAGATTTGGGTAAATATTTCCATTAGATTAAAAATTGAACATATTTACAATCATGCACATAATAACAAAATCAATATTTGTATTCTTTCGAAAATGAAATAAATCTTGAAATGTCGGATTAGTTGCTAATAAATTTTAAGCCAAGAAAGTAACGATGATGCAGAGAATCGCGCGTAGAGACGTTATTAGGAAGAAAACATCCGATCAATCTTATTTTGTCAGCGATTAGAATGACAAGGGAAGTAACGTTCCACGCTCGTTAATCAATCAAGCTGCAATCAATTACATGCAATAGTACCTGGCTTCAATGCATACGGAGAACACGCCGAAAATAAAAACCGTATCGATTTGTTGCCGCCACCATGAACAACCCTTTCTATTTTTATAATTTCAGAAAGGAAAAAAAGTACGGAAATTGGATGAGTTTCGCAAATGTACGTCGACATATGAATATTATACAATTCGAATAATACGAAAACGGCATTCATTCTGCTCAGCAAAACGAGCTACAAGTTCCATTTGAAATAATAACCATTAATCAATCACGTAAATTATATATTTATCCTTTAAGTTTGTAACCATAATTATGAACGATAGTGGACTTCAGGAAATTGCGTTTCCCTGTTAATCCTGTAATTACTATTTTCGGGGTTAATTAATACGAATTACGCGGCGGAGTAGTTGATCAATAAAATTTAGTGCAATAATTTGGTAATAGGTTACATGAGCTGTGTACTACTTGAAACTCTAATCCGAGACTAATTCCGGTATTAAAGCTTCGCGGTATTACGTAATCGAAATTAAAGTGTCATACTGAGTTCGTTCATAACGAAATTATTACAAAATAATTTAACCATATAATAATAAATTAATTAGAAATTCTTTGAAATTAATTACATTTTATGGACAAACTGCAATAATTTTTACATATTTATTATTTTTAATTTCATATTATTAATTACAGTTAAAATGTTCAATTTCATGATCTGTCTCAGTTATTGTGTATCTTATTTGGTTTGTTGCATTGTAAATTTTACAATTTAATGAAAATAAACTATTGCGAGTCGAATACAGTTTTTAAACTTTATTTCAAATTTTCTTACACATTTTTATATGTATATAATTAAAATTAACAGGAATTTATTTAATTAAATTCATTAATTTTATGACTACAGCAAGATCTCGCATTGTCCGGCTTCGAAAACCCAACACAAAGCAAAACTTTTAATTAAATCTGAAGTCCTGCTAATCTGTTGACAAATATATTTAAACTTTTCACATGCAAAATTAATTACAATTGAACAATGTAAATGTTTTTTTTTACATTGTGAATCGAATTGTTTATTTAACAAAAGCTCTCGGCTACCGCAACCACAACAAGTTCGAATATTAATTCAATTGAATTTACATTCTCATATTATTATTAATTTTCAGCGATGAAACATTTTGTTAATAAATATTTATTAATTAGAGCATATTTATGATAACTGGACATTACATCAAATATTAAAATGTATAAAAATGGTCTTTGTTTTTATAAAAATATTTAAAAATTAATAATTTAACTGAAATACGTATTGTACTTTAATAATTACTTTAATTATACGATAAACTAGTATGATTTAACATTATAAACAAATTTAAATTTGAGGAAACGTACCATAATCACATAATTTTATATTTGTGGAATTAGTACAGTATAATTCAATAATAATTAAACTAATTATTATCTATAAATATTATGAAAACATATAAACTCACAGATTCAAAAGACAATAACACCTTATATATTAGATCAAAAATGTACAATTATCAAAGTATCGACTTTGATATTTTACTTTAAGAATTCTTTGTTAACTGACTATGATTGTTTCCAGACATTAAGCCATTTCTTGCAGGGAAATATATTTAATTCGTTTTACAGACTTCTTCGCTGCAAACATTAACAGGCAAATCTGTATAGTTTAGGCGCATACTTCGGTTAATTATACTGTTTCTTGTTTGAGCTACAACTTTCAGTTCGAAATCGGATGTTTCATACTAAATGACCTAATATAAGAGAAATGGATGTGCGTCTTGTAATTGAGATGGCAAGTGGCAGAAGCAATCAGCAAATAAATGAGGGATTGTTTTTAATCAGGATGGCAGGCTTAGAAACCGAGCGAGGGGAAAGAATTAAGGCCAGAACTAGGAACACGGACACGGCGCTTAGTATTCCATCGACTCCCGTACTATTTATCCTTTAATTCTCCACATATATTCCAGACGTAATACCCAGTTTTTTTCCCCTTATGAGTATTGAAAATCGCCTGCCTCAAACCAAGAAAGAAATAAGAAAGACGATCCTGTATGAATGTAATAATAATTCACGCTTAATCCTTGTGATATATAGCGTGCATCGTTTTCCAACTAGAAAATCTTCACATTCTTTACAATTCTTAATATATTTATTCAATATATTTTCATATAAATAAGCGTACACCTTATTTATGATGAGGAATATTTGTATTTATGGTTCATTCCCACGTTGTCATAAATGAAGCGTTATGTTTTATCCCTCAGTTTTTTCTGTTGAGATTATGTAACATTTTCATTTGTATTGTGGACCATATAATTTTATTATGGGCTGTTTGACGCCTCGACAACGTGTAGTTGTGATAAAAAAAATACTATTATGAAATCAATAGTCTCAGCACGCAATGCGAAATGAAATTTTGAGAAACATCACTGGATGAATTATGTCACAACACCTGATCAATTTCGTCATTCTAACTAGTTTATAATCAGATTTTTCATTTTTTTTAATAATATTTCAACAATAAATTTCGATATTTATAGAGATAATTGTCAAAATAAATTATGTTCATTATATTGTATAAATTGTTATTACCAGTTATATTTAATTGAGAAGTTCAGTTTGATATTTATAGATAGAAATAATAAGTAACAATATCGATTATGTGAGAAGTGAAGCGTTGTAACAGACGTTAATTGCTTTCATTATATTCAAAGTAATAGCAGATGGCCTGAAGAATATGTAAACAGTGCTGTGGCTATAAATAGGGACAATGGATAAAAGTGACATGAATTTCGAAACATGCGTCTGGTTGTATGAATCCACTATCCACACACTCGAGTTGGAAATAAAGCTAGACTAAACAACAAAAGCCTCGAACACCGAGTCCCGATGATAATAAAGGGTGACTGCAGAACGTGAACCGCAGAGCGCCAAACAAATTTATAGGGTATTATAACTTCATCATTCTTTCACTTTTTTTCTTCCGATATTGCGTGACCTTAAATAGAGAGAGAAAAAAATGCGGATAACGCCATTACATGCCGTTTCATCGAGGTCGCGATAATCGTTACATAATAATTTATTGGATAATTGATATCCCGCTTCATTTCAGTATATTTAACAAATTAATGGGCTGCATGTAATATAACTCGGTAGAATTGATTTAGAAACGAAATATGCTTAGAAACTAAGATTGAACCAAAAAAGTAAAAAACGTTGGTACTCACCTTAAGAGCATCTTCGTGCGATACCCCGGTGAAAGGAGTGCCGTTAACTTCGAGTATAGAATCACCGGGTCGAAGTCCCGCCCTTTCCGCGACGCTTCCCTCTTCGACCCTTGAAATATATACACCTACACCTGCAAATAACATGAAGCCAGATAACAGATACCTAATAGTAAAAGCTTTTCCCAAGCTATACAAGATCACATGACATGGTTTATCATACAGAAATATGAAACGTTTAACATTCTTCTGGCATCCCAAAAGGAACGTGTTCATTCAGCATAATAAAACGTTCCCCAACGTTTCCACCTTAAAAAGTAAATATTCATTTCAACTGTTGCTACATTCCTGGCAAACATTCAAAAGTGAAATGGCTTATAAAGGCTTCATCTGCAGCTGGTCGAACTCAGCATTAATAATAATAAGAAAATGGAGAACTTTCGGATCTCGTAAATATATTATCAGTTAGCTACTCTTGGCCAAAAACTGAATCGACCTTAACCCACCTGCGTCTTTTCCACCCTTCACGCAAATCCCGAAGCCGTGTGCGTCTGTTGGTTCTCTGACCATGGTCACTGTTCTTGTGGAAAGCTCGTGAACTGTCGGACCATATGGAACGCGGTAGTTGTGGGTGGTCGAAGGAGGGCTGCTGGCTGGTGACCTCCTCGGCCTTTCCACGTTCAATTTCGAGTTGGATTGGTTGTTGAACAAACGAAGGACCTGTTCCGGCGATATTGGCCGCTTCTTGTTGTTACTTGGAGTGCTACGGAAGTTCGGATTCGAACCCAAATACGTGCCTGCAACAAACATTCAAATAAAACTACCAACTGCATACGTCTTAGGTCATTTTTGGAAAAAAATTACGTAATATGAGTCTCTATTATTTATCAAGTTGAATGGTGAGTACGAATTGTGCATAGTCAAACCATAGCTTGTATTACAAGTTACTAGAAAAGAACATATATTTATTGGCTATAATTGTCAAATATCATTGTTCAAATAAGTAATATTTAACATTTGCTACTTGTCAATTATAACGTGATGAGTAGAGGGATTTCAAGTTGATAAACTTAAAGAAGTGTCAGTTTATTTAATTTACAGCAGCGTTTCTCAACCTATAGATCGCGATCAAAAATTGAGTCAAAGCTAGGAATTTATTTAAATTGAAAAATTGTTGTTTCTTGTATAAACAATATTCGTCACATCTTAAATTGATGACAATATTCAATTGTATACAATTTTATGTATTGCTTTTCATAAATCTTATACTTCATATGAATACAATACAAAATAATGAATACATGATAGAATAAAGAGATGAATATAGTTATTACCTCTGGGTCCTGGATTATTGTATTGTTGCGATCCGGTGCTAGCATATTCCCGATCCCTGTGATGGTACATTGCCGAAGAAGGCCTTTCGACGATGGTATAGGAAGTACCAGGGGGTGAATAGTATAGTCCAGAGCGGGATCTGGCATGGCCACGTGGACTGCCGTTCGGCCCGAGGGCATCTTCCGCTTCCGCCGGGATCCGAGCAGTGCTTCTGCTGCTTCGGCTGCTCCATCCTCGACCGCCGTAGCCACCCAGATCCGCCAGCTCTGAAAACTCTTCTCCCGCCCTCATACCCTCTTTTCCTGCAGACTTCAATCCAGCTAACCCTCAAACCGATCGTCACGTATTTAAGTTCTGAAACAAACAACATTTTCAATTAACAACACAAAAATTACATACAATAACTAACAATAACATAATGCATTAGCTCTTGATGTAAAAGTATTATATTCCAGTGTAATAAAAACGCGAACAAATATATACATTAAAAAAAAATCAGACTAAAATGTGCATTGAGAGTTTCTAAAGAGCTCTCAGACTTTATGCTGACAACGATGAAGAATAAAAAGAAACTCGAGAATAAGGGTTAGAATGGCTATAAGAATAGAGGCAACATGAAAGGAAATAAGTCACTCCGTTTACTACGCTAAAGAAAACTAAAATCCTAACGTTTGTCCATTAAATACGAAATCACATATCTTTTTAATAAATTAAAGCAATTTACTAATTAATAACTCATTTCTAAATATTTATTAATAGCTTTGTGAATTTGCCAAATTAAAGATCGAAGATAGATTTAAATTTTTCCTTGATAGAAAAGTTCATGTACCCTAGTTATAGTCGCACGATAAGTTTGTGTAACAAATTCCTAACATTTGTAAAAAATAACGGGATTCTAAATGTTACGGCAGAGATAAATGGTTGAAAAGATATAACGTGGGTATAGATGCTGAGAATAGCAAGATAAGATCATTGCCTTCACAGACGTAAAAACTCTGATAAATATATCTTTACTGGACAACTTTGGTTTTCACCTAAATTTCATCTCTACAATGCAATTGTGGGGATATAAATGAAATCATAACAGGTGTTAAATTTTATTTTATAGCAACATAACGTATTTGTTTGTATATTCCCATTTTTTTGCTATATTTTAGTTAGACTATATTAAAAGTATATAAACTTCGATGCTGAAACTCTATTATAGTTGGTATACAAAAAGTCATTGTAAGAGGGAATGGAATGTTCCTTTCATCACGGAAATGGGGAATTGGCAAAATCGACTGGATATAATAGAATTGTCAACATTCAATACTATCATCTGTAACGAGAAGAACTTTTATCTGCACAGATAAACGAAGAGACAACAAAGAACTATACCCGAAGACGTTTTAAATGCGACTATCATTTCCGTTGTTGTTGACCAGTTGAGTCGTGGATAAGATAATGTATTTGGCCATAAATCCGACTCCAGTTATTAAGTCATAGCCAGATGCATGGAAAGCAATTTACGGTCGCGCACAAAAAGCCAAACCGTCGGGGCATTATCTCATCTCATATATATTTTTTTTATACAGGACAATTAAATTAATTCAAATCAGATCCAGAATGGCGCAATCGATTTTATTTACATTTGGACGACGGTTCCATTCCACTCCACCGCTGCAATTGCCTTTCTGCATTGATAATTCTTATGCAATTAGAACTGGAACTCTCCTCAGACGGGAAGAACTCAACTTCGAGTTTAATTTTAATTAACAAACTTCCATTTAAAGCTCCAGCTCTATGTACCTTTCATAATTATTCATGGACGGACTGAGATAATTTTCTTCTACATTTTTTTTTTCAAGTGGAGCTGTTTAATTTAATGCATCCCAATTTCATTTCATTTTACATCACCTTTTATTTATTCTATTTTTAACTTCCTCAATTTGGGTTCTTGAAAAATACAATAAAAAAAATATGTTTTTTGAGAATTATAATTAAGTATTACTTGACTATTTTAAGAGAATTTATATAGAAATATTGACTGCAATAAATTTCAAGAATTGTGATAAATTGAGAATAATAATCCATTAAGATACAAGATTATCGTGGAAAGTTCACTACTGACGTCTCGATTACAACTAAGGTTTGATAACTGCGTCACGACAGAGGCCTTTGCAAAAGCGAAGCCTACTATGTAAAAGATAGGGCGGATATATACGCCGCTTATCCGCAAAGGATCAAATTTATTTGATACTATTAATATGTTTTACTTAATAACTATTTTTTTAGTATAAACAAAAGGCTATACATTCTATGTTTTATTTGAAAATAAATAAAATACTATTTGGTAATATTACATAAATTATTTAGTGTACATCATGATTTCACATTGTTTTTTATAACTGTTATTAAACCGGTTGCATTGTTTGAGCAGCAAATAATAAAAACGCAACATTTTTTATATCCAGCTTTAAAAGTATCATCAAAATATTTTCACCCTAAAATCACAATCTAAAATAATCTACATATAAAAATATATATGTACCGGATACACCACACCATAATGAAATAAGCTAAAGCCACGACAATTGAATGCGAAGCTTTACGTGCGGATATACGTTTTTTTTTTATTGCCGTCACGAAATTTGTTTATGATTATATGTTCGGTTGTCCATCGATCCCTCCCATTTCCGTGCAAAATATGGAAACGTTAACGACCTAATAAAGTTTTATTTACCCACGGAAGGCTTTTGCTTTTCCCGTGACGCAACAGAGAGCAAAAAAAATAAGTAGGAACACTCTGTATAAAATCAATAGCTGTAGGGCGAGCAATACTTTCTTTCCCTTTTTTTGAGACTACATTTCCCAATTAAATATTCACTACATTTGGGATCGGATAATTCGATTTGGATCTGTATTCCGTTCCGGCTATTGTCGCTCAAAATTGTGAATTGAAATGTTTTGCATATTCCAGAATGAAACTATGCGTAACATTTCACAGCCGTGTCGTTTATTTAGCATTTTGTTTCATTATATAACGTTTGTTTATTATGTAGATTTCATTCAATATTTAATTACTAATATTTCAATATAAACTATTCAAAATAGGATTCATATTAAAAAAATATATTTTTTAGCACATGTGAACTAAAGATAAAATAACAGGGTATAAATGATTACGTTAAAATTAAATTAAGATTGATGCTGAAGATGTGATAATAAAGCTTTTGGATTATCATGAAGACGAGCTTATACTAGATCAGTGGTTTCCAATCTTGATGTTACTACGCCTCACTCAAAAATATGTAATCATTTGGCGCCTCCCCTTTCATAAAAGGAACGTGCATTATAGCAATATGGATATCTATTATAGTTTTCGAGGAAATCAATGAAATGTAAAAACACTGCTTTTTGAGCATTTTTTAAACTTTGAACACGAATTACACCCAAACGGCTAAAACAACAGTAATATATGAATATTTGTTACATTCCCCAATAATTCAGCTTTCATATGGATCTTTTGGATTCATTCTATCTATTATAATTTTCGAGAAAATCAATGAAATGTG